CGGTATGTTCCCGTTTTATTTACGGTGCTTGGAAATTGCCCTCACGACCTAATCTTCGGCATGAACTTCCTATCGACGCATTCTGCCCTGATCGATTGTGCCACCGGTACTCTCTGCCTTTAACTTCAACTTCTCTCGGATTCTCACCCTGAACTCCCGAAGAACCTGTGCACCACTGACTTCTTCCGGATACCACCAATCGCTCTAACATTGTTGAATTGGCAACACCCTCTCCCATGCTCAACGGTGAATATAACGTAACGCCTATTTTTGATGTTCTCCTGGCGCACGACATCACTGTCCTAGACTCCGTCGTAACCATGGCCTCTAACCGAACATATTTACCTGTTATCAATTAACGCTTCATAAAACAAGTGCTACCTTAAATAATATCGGTCGCCACGCTAAGACCCTTAATTGACGACCATGTCACCTGTTTTGTGGCAGACGCATGTTCCGACCACCAACGTCACTCGCAGAATGCCACGTGCCTCGATGCGACTTTACGCTCCAAGATCGCCCCGGGCCTCAAACCTGAGAAGTCAGCCGCGCTATGCCGCCTTCTGGCTTCTTACCGCAACATATTCGAAAGTGACAGCCGTTCACTCGGCCCGACTTCGCTCGTCAAGCACTGCATTAGGACAGGTTATTCTCATCCCATTCATCGGCGAACATACGAGGTATCTGCCTCCGAGCGTAAAATCATTCAACAAAATGTCACCAAGATGCTAGCCAAAAAAATTATTGAACCCTCTTCGAGCCATTGGGTGTCCCCCATTGTGCTAATTAAAAAGAAAGTTGGCACATGGCTCTTCTGCTTGGATTACCGCCATCTGAATAGAATGACGAAAAACGGCGTTTACCATTTACCCCGCATCAATGACGCTCTCGATTGTCTCCACCACGCCCTATACTGTTATTTAATAGACCTACGTTCCGGCTACTGGCAGATTGCTGTCGACGAAAAAGACCAAGAGAAGACTGCTTTTGTAACTCCAGACGGCCTATATCAGTTCGAGGTTGTGCCGTTTGGGCTATGCAACGCCCCAGCCACGTTCGAGCGTATGATGGACCCTCTGCTAAAAGGGTTCAAATGGTTAACATGTCTTTTTTATCTTGACGCTGTCGTTGTATATTCCCCAACATTGGACACCCACCTTCAGCGTTTGCCGGATATTCTCGACATATTCCGCACTGCAGGCCTTCAGTTAAACTTGTCGAAGTGCCACTTCAGACGTCAGCCAATTACAGTATTGGGCCACCTTGTCGACGCATCTGGTGTGCAGCCGGACCCGGAGAAATTTCGTGCTGTCAACAATTTCCCTGTACCCTGGTCAGCCAAAGACGTCCGGAGTTTTGTAGGACTTTGTTCCTACTTTGGAAGGTTTGTGAAAGATTTCGCAACCATCGCCTGACTCCTCACTGAGCTTCTGAAGAAATATGTCACATTTACATGGGGTACCAACCAAGCTGCGGCTTTTCTCACCTAATCACGCTACTGATGACTCCATCTATATTGTCTCACTTTGACCCATCCGCCCCGACAGAGGTCCGAACCGATACTAGTAGTCACGGAATCGGAGCCTTCCTAGCCCAACGCCAGCGGGGACACGACCGAGTTGTCGCCTACGCTAGCTGCCTCCAAACAGCTGCTGAGCGCAACTATTCTATAACATAGCGCGAATGTCTTGCTCTTGTTTGGGCCGTCTCTAAGTTCCGCACATATATATGGCACGAATTTCTCTGTCATAACGGACCACCATGCGCTATGTTGGCTTTCGTCACTGAAGGATCCTACTGGTCAGCTCAGCTGCTGGGATCTGCGACTGCAAGAGTATACCTACATGGTGACGTACGAGACCGGACGCCTACATTAGGACGCAGACTGCCTGTCCCGCTATCCGCTTGCTGAGTTGAGCATTATACTTGACACCGACACCGACCCTTGCATCTTTTCCCTTTCGCAAATGACATGCATCCCTGACGAGCAGCGTCGTGACGTGTCCTTCCGTGTTATCATTGAGCGCCTCGAATCCCCATCTATCAATCAGTCCCATCAATCAATCGTGCTCCACGACGGTGTATTATACCGCCGAAATTTTGAGCCTGATGGACCGGTCCTGCTACTAGTCATTCCGAAACCCCTTCGTTCAGAAGTTCTAAATAAACTTCATGACCTTCCGACTGCCGGTCATCTTGGTGTGTCACACCCTTACGACCAAATACTCTGACGCTTCTTCTAGCCAGGGCTTCCACGCTCAGTCAGAGTATACGTTGCGGCTTGTTAGAAATGTCAGCGCCGCAAAACGCCATCGACACTTTGCGCCGGACGCCTTCAACCACTTGACATTCCGTCAGAACCGTTCTTCCGCGTTGGCTTGGACCTACTTGGCACTTTCCCTTTGTCTTCCTCGGGTAACAAGTGGATGGCTCTGGGCACCAACTACACCACGCGTCATGCCATCACACCAGCTCTTCCAGCAAGCTGCGTCACAGACGTCGCCGACTTCTTCCTTAAGGACGTGATTTTGCAACACGGAGCCCCGTGGCAGGTGCTTACAGACCATGGCCGCACCTTTTTGTCGAAGGTCATAGCCGACATCTTGCAGTCCTGCGAAACGAGACATAAGCTGACTACATCATACCATACGCAAACAAATGGACTCACGGAGCGTCTAAATCGAACTCTTAGAAACATGCTCGCTTAGTATGTTTCTACCAACCACACCGACTGGGATGTTGCGTTGCTGTACGTCACATTTGCCTATAATTATTCGTGCCATGACACTGCCGGTTACTCTCCATTTTTTCTGATGTTTGGCCAAGAACCAACATTGCCTTAGACACCGTAATACTATATCCTGCAGTACCGACCAGTGAATATGCCATGGACGCTACCACTGGGGCCGCTCACGCACGCGAAATCACCCGTACTTGCCTTCTGACCTCTCAAGAGAAGCAACGGTGTTTGTACGAACAACGACACCGCGACGTACACTTTCCTCCCGGTTCTTTGGTCCTGCTGTGGTCTCCGACCCGTCAAGTTGGCTTGTCAGAAAAACTGCTTACTCGCAAAGAATGCCACGTTCGAGAGAGTGTCCTGTAGAGAGCTCGCCATACAGATAATGTAAACAAACCCTCTCTACCAAGATCCACTTTGGCGAACGAACGCCTTAGCCCCTAAGCTAGACGGTCACGGGGTAACTCTACTTATGTTTGCGTACGTCCTAGCAATTGTGTTGATGCAAGGTTTGTCATCTACAATACATATCGCTGATATATATATATATATATATATATATATATATATATATATATATATATATATATATATATATATATATATATATATATATATATATATATATTGAACAAGTTGCAAGAGAATTTTACGAATACGTTAGCGTCTACTTTTAACTAGCTTACTAGCTTCACCGCGATTTCAGTTGATTAAACCTGGCCCCTTCGCGTTCATAGTGTGAGCTAAAGATAACTTTTTCACAACAAAAATTGCCGGTTTTTCAGCACACACATTATTTGGTAATTTTTACTACTCCCTACTGCAAGTTTCGCTAGTGTGATTCATTCACGGGAGGAAAGACGTTGACATGTACGAGAACAAATGTTTGTCAATGCAGCCATCGCAAATAAAATCGCGATGTTTGCACAGCTCGACACAACAAACAGCACGTAATGGCGGCTAGCCTTTGCATACACCCTGATATCGGCGCTGCCTCAACATCTTTTGTCGTTGCGTGTCTCACCCAACTTACAGATGCTCAGAAATCAGGCAAACGCGGAAAACAGTACCGGAAGCTACTCTACTGAAGTGCCTTCACTACGTGTTATCTTCGGGATGTGCTACTGATTAACAGTTCTTTATTATATGGTGTACGCTTTCACGGAGCTTTACAAAACTTTACTACGTTGCTGTGGGAGAAGTCATACTTTGCTCGTAAATAACGACGTGCAAACGCAGCTCACTTGCAAATATTCAGCGCTGTTTCTTGCTTATACTCGTGACCGTGAAGTAGCACGGAGTCTGACATAATAGAGATGATTTGAATAAATGTGTCTGAAAATCATCAAAAGTACAGGGATTACAATATTTGCTCGTGGTGTTGATAATAACTGTTTATGTCTGGAAATACACTTTAAGGTGACTAGACAAACAATTGTTTGAGTAATTAAGTGAAATAAATAACCTTTTCCATAAGCGGTTACAGGCGGTCGGGTCAAATAGGAGAATCATGGCTCTTTCAGTGAAGAAATCACGGAAATCAATAGTGAATCATGGCTCTTTTATTGCCGCTTTGACGTATTGAAAAATTCTCCACTAGTGAGTTTTGCGCAGCATTGAAATTCCAACAAATTAACCGGTGAAACCAAACCCGAAGCTCTTGGGAACGCAACTACAGCTGACGGTCCAGAATAATGCCACTGTGATTTATTGGTGTTAGTTCTGCACTGGTTGAGATCAGTGTGCTACACGTTTTCTAATCACAAACTAAACCCATAGAATTATCAAGCGAAGTCAATCGATGATTGTTGAAACGACGCTCCACTCATGTGGACGTCTCTGAAGCCTATACAAGATGCGCTCTTCCAAGTTTTGGTTCCGGCTTCTCTGGCGAAATTGCTCAGTTTTTATTATTTGTTGATAATAGCCAGTGGCTGCTTTTGCGAAATCTGAAAGCAGCAACAGGGTGTTCGCAGAAAGGCCTGATCTTTTTTTATGGGAGCTGACAATCTGCTTCAACTGATTGAAAAATTAAGTTAAATTAGTTTTTTACAGTCACATTTATTAATTCTGCTTATCCTAGAAAATCTGTCGCCACAGGGAAAGTAATTATCAAGGTGGTGGAAAAATTTCTCATCTTTTCTTTTTCCGGGGATTCCCAGGCACATATTGTAAAACACACGGAATAATATAATTTGTACAATTTAGCTATAAATATGTAGTTTCTTGTACACTTATCTTGAATCCTTCATTTTTCTAGAACAGTGAAAGAGCTGTTCGCCGAGTGCTTGTCTCAGAAGCGCTTGAAGCCCGACATTCTGGAATTGTCTATGGAGCTTCTCGGCTGCACACAAGAGCAACCTGTCAGTACCAGTAAGTACGCGAACAGTCTTGTAATACTCTCGTCTTTCTAACCGTAGAGTTAATCGAGCTTTATCACATCATAGTATTGACTCGAAAGATCGATGAAATATACAAGCAGCTTTTTGTAACTTCAACTGTCAACTTTCAAAATTATTTCAGACAAAGACAAATAATGTGTATAATTGTACTGTCTAGGAGGGGTGACAAAAAGTCATGAGTGCCTGACTGAGTGTCACACCCCTTTCTAGACACACATAGCTTAAGCATCAGTGGCAGTTGGATAAACAAAAATACGTACAGAAGATTACATACATGATACATCTTTAGACAAAACAAATGCTGGATTTTATTGATATATACATTGTTCTTTTTACACATAAAACATAAAGATTTTCTAAGTATATGTACAGTATAGACTGCAGCAAGGTAAAACACGGAATTATTCTTGTTTTGAAATTAGGTATGAATTTAACTTTTTTAAGTGTTTCATGTGCATCATTTCCTGTACCAAGTTTATAACGGTGGGATGACTATTTGAGAAATCTGCAATAGCGTAAGATTAGTTTTGCATACCATACATAGTTGGTTCGTATGAAACCTTTATCATATACAGTCTTTCTAGTTTCGTAAATGTGCCCCTTCCCCAGGAATAGTCGATAATATCTGTCCTGGCATGACTTTATTTTCTGGAATATTGCAATGCCTAGCTTCTTTTCTAGTGTGCGTTGCATTGTTAATATGGTATTTGCTTTAAACTGCAATCACTTGGCTCATAATCAGAATATCTTGAAGGGTGGCTTAGGAGGGGTGCATTGAAAATGTGTTTATTTCAACTACTAACGTATACTATAAGGACCTCAAAACGTTAAGAACATGCGACAGCTCCAGCTTCTGCGGCAACTGTTGACTTGCATCTTGGTCACCCACCTCTACATGCCAGCGGTTAAAGAAAGTGCACTGTTGCTACTGCATCTTCTCCCCAGCAACCCAGGCAGCAGCGCCTCCTCCCGCAGATCCAAAATGTGATAAAGACGGCGCCACTCGCTGCCTCTGGGTGGCTGCCAAAGCTCTAGAGACTTCGATGGGGTTCAACGACGACGGCGCTCAGGCTGGACAGAGTGGCTGCACGTAAGAGAACATTCGGTCACTTATATGAACTTCTTTAGGCAACAGAAATGGGCCCGACATTCCATTGAGAAAGTTGTTCTTCTATTTGCGAAACGTCCGAGTAGACAGTTTGCAGCTTTATATCCGTCAAATTTTAGTGTTTTTAGTTATCTGCCAGTGCCCGCGAAATGCCGAAAATACCACGTGACAAGCCCACTTGCGCTCCAGTTCAAGTTTTTTCTAACGTTCTGCGTACGAGTGACATAGCATTTGCCCGATTGTGCTGTCTTCACAGGGGCGCAACGATGGTGGTGGCTTTGCAATTCACACGTTTCATTAACAGCTACGAAATTGATATTTGCTGTGACTGCTTACCGCTATCATGATCCGGTGCAAAGGAAGCATATCTTTCGTAGGCGGAACGTCAGGGAGCACCAGAATCGTGGCGTGTGTAAAGCCTCTCGAGATTTTTGGGAAAGTACCGTCTTTTTTTAAAGACGATAGTCTTCTTTGCGGACTTTCAACGCAAAAATTTTGGTCTGCCTGCCTGTCTGGCTGTTTGTATAATTGTCTGTACGTTTCTCTGCTTGTCCACTCTTAATGGCATCGGGTACTTGAAACGGCCAACCCCATCCGCAGCGCCCACCAATGTTGCTCAAGATTTAGCGTTCATACCTGTGCAATTGTCAATTAGTAAGCAATTATTGCGCAAGTCTGAATCACCATAAAAACACGTCTGTAATCTGCTTGTGCATCTTTTACTAAAAAAGCATAAATGGGTAACTTTAAGGACCGTAGCGCTTATCATGCTGCGCTGACCATGCAAAACACGGAAAAACGAGTCCTTATGTATACACTTCTTTCCCTCATTCATTCACGAGGGTCTCATACTGGCAGACTTGGTGCCGTTAGGTTGTATACGAGGGACAGTTGCTCAGGTGCCAGCTCGTAATAAGTTCACGTGGTACGTGGCACCATAGAGGCTCATAAAAAGAGTGTACCACACTCACCGCCATGGCTACAGGTGGCGCTGACTGACACTCCCACGTTTAAATTCACAGATAAACCGACTAAAGTGGCTGGGGGGGGGGGGGGGAACAGCCGCCGTGATTGCTCAGTGGTAGATCATCGAACGCGTTATTCGGAGGTCGTAGGCTCGATTCCTGCTCACGGCAAGTTATTTTTTCACCAACTTTTCTTTCTTGCTATTTATATTACCTTGGTTCTTATAAGCTCTCCTATACATACCTTGGCAGTATTGTCTGTACATCTCATTATTATTGTGTCAAAAACGCGGAAAAACGAGCCCTATATATATATATATATATATATATATATATATATATATATATATATATATATATGTATATATATATATATATCATCAGCAGCAGCAGCCTCACTACGTCCACTGCAGAACAAAGGCCTCTCCCATGTTCCGCCAGTTAACCCGGTCCTGTGCTTGCTGATGCCAATTTACACCCGCAAACTTCTTAATCTCGTCTGCCCACCTAACCTTCTGTCTCCCCCTAACCCGCTTCCCTTCTCTGGGAATCCAGTTAGTTACCCTTAATGACCAGCGGTTATCCTGTCTACGCGCTACATGCCCGGCCCATGTCCATTTCCTTTTCTTTATTTCAACTATGAAATCCTTAACCCCCGTTTGTCCCTTAATCCACTCTGCTCTCTTCTTGTCTCTTAAGGTTACACCTACCATTTTTCTTTCCATTGCTCGCTGCGTCGTCCTCCATTCAAGCTGAACCCTCTTTGTAAGTCTCCAGGTTTCTGCTCCGTAGCTAAGTACCGGCAAGATACAGCTGTTATATACCTTCCTCTTGTGGGATACTGGCAATCTACCTGTCATAATTTGAGAGTGCTTGCCGAATGTACTCCACCCCATTCTTATTCTTCTAGTTAATTCAATCTCGTGGTTAGGCTCTGCGGTTATTACCTGCCCTAGGTAGACATAGTCTTTTACAACTTCAAGTGCACTATTACCTATCTCAAAGCGCTGCTCCTTACCGAGGTTGTTGTACATTACTTTCGTTTTCTGCAGATTAATTTTAAGACCCACCTTTCTGCTCTCCTTGTCTAACTCCGTAATCATGATTTGCAATTCGTCCCCTGAGTTACTCAGCAATGCAATGTCATCGGCGAAGCGCAGGTTCCTTAGGTATTCTCCATTAACTCTTATCCCTAGCTGTTCCCATTCTAGGCTTCTCAAAACCTCCTGTAAGCACGTGGTTAATAGCATTGGGTAGATTGTGTCCCCCTGCCTTACACCCTTCTTGATTGGTATTCTGTTGCTTTCTTTATGAAGCACTATGGTAGCAGTTGATCCCATGTAGATTTCTTCCAGAGTGTTTATATATACTTCATCTACGCCCTGATTCCGCAGTGTCTGCATGACGGCTGATATTTCTACTGAATCAAACGCCTTCTCGTAATCTGTGAATATATATATATATATATATATATATATATATATATATAAAGTCAATACTTTATGGGCCAATACTTTAAAGTCAATACTTTCATCATCACATTGGGAGGGGGGTATTTACATGAATACATATATTTTAAGTATTGTAAACAGAAAACAGTACCAAGGAAAGGAAACAGTGAGAGAATCGAGCCACATCATTCGGCAACACAAAAAACATGAAAGAACTAATATTTATTGCATATAAGAACAATGCATGGTTATTGTTCACAATAGGTATATATATATATATATATATATATATATATATATATATATATATATATATATATATATATATATATATATATATATATATATATATATATATATAAGTGAGAAAGCGTGTCCTATGTCAAAACACTTCGCCCCGCCACGGTGGTCTAGTGACTAAGGTACTCGGCTGCTGACCAGCAGGTCGCAGGTCGCGTGATCAAATCCCGGCTGTGGCGGCTGCATTTCCGATCGAGACGGAAATACTGTAGGCCCTTGTACTAAGATTTTGGTGCATATTTAAGACCCCAGGTGGTCAAAATTTCCGGAGCCCTCCACTACGGCGTCTCTCATATACATATGGTGGTTTTTAGACGTTAAACCCCACAAATCCATGAATACGTCGAAACACTTTTACTTATAACAAACATTTCGGCTGATGGGCTAGCCCTTCAGTATACACGCACGCACACACACATACACACGCACAGGTATATATATATATATATATATATATATATATATATATATTGACCATGATCGTCAGAAACAAAACATTGCCGCGTGGAGCTGGCGGCAAAGTTTCTGCTGGGTGGGCTTGGCTGCATTGTGGTGGTCATCCCGAACCACAATGCAACATGCAACTGCCAGACCGTCACATGCAACTGCGTTGTGGCGGTCGGGCGGAAGCGTCTCTGGTGGACGACATTGGCGGCCTCGAGCCGGTCGGTGAACGCCACGGTGCGCCTCTGCTTGACGATCTGTCAGTGTGTACTCAGGTGGGCGGAAATGGCTTTGTCGCTGCGGTTGAACTCGTGCATGGTACAGCGTTTCTTGACAACTCGTGGAATACCGCTCAGGTGGACGGCCCTGACTGTTCCAGCAAGGTCGCAGAGTAACATGGAAATGCTGTTGTTTGTCCCACCGCCTTTGGTGGACTGAACTGCAATGGGCGCTCTATGAGGCAGCCGTGTGGACGTTTGTGCTTTTTCTCGAAATTAGTGGCGACGCAGCTCATGGTTGGGCATCAATACCACAGCAGAACTCTCTGAAGTTGTCCAGCTGGTGGCTTCTGGCGAACTGTCGCGTGCAGACTTGGCGTGCTGAGAGGAAACAGCACGAGGGCTGGTCCTCGACAAGTTCTCAATGGCAGTGGCCTCAGCCTGGCTAGGTGTCTGGATTTTCTCAAAAGAAACATCCCTTGGGAGCGAGGTGTCTGCGCGACTGAGCGTATGTGCGTCTGCGAAAATGAATGTATGAGTCGTCTGCAAACATGACTGTGGCAGGTTATGGCTGATCTTGTTCGCATCCTCAGAAAGGCCTGCTTTGTGAAGTGGTAAGGAGTGCATTTTGTTTCTGACGATCATGGTCTGGTGGTGTTCAGTTGTGTCTGGTACGATAGATGTGAGCACCTCCATGTCCTCAAACGACAACGAGCGCGAGGACAGCATCTCCTGAGGAAGGTCTGGTAGTGATATTCCCGGGTCTAATACCAATGCGGAGTTCACAACCTGCAGAGGAGGACTGTGGTCACTTTGGTAAGGGTCAGCAGCAGGAAACTCTTCGATATACGACATTTTTCGAGAGGCGTCTTTCTGCAAGGCGCAAATGCTCTCATGTTCAGTTATTTAATCATGTAAAGCGTGCAGACCCGCTTTCTTCTGGTCATGGATGAGCATGGTGAAATCCACAGGCACGTGCGTTCAATGACGTGGTAAAATGTCAAGTCAGATGGAGGCTGGCGCCTCAGCATCTACCGAATGGTCTGACGACTCCGGATGGCATTCGTTGAAGCCTGTCGCCGGGCGTTTTGCAAAACTTGCCGTGAGAGTCTTACCGGACACAGGTGCACCATCGGGCCGCTGCTCCATGACAGCAGAAGTGCCTGTGCAAGGCAGAATTACACGATCGTTATTGTTCCCTACATCTTGGTCACAGAGAGATGACCGGATGGTGGGGGCTCGAGTTGCATCCTGTAGGTCGGGCTTTTCCCGAGTTCCGTCTTGAGGGAAGGTCGAGTTGCATGGACAGGTGGTACAGGGAATCGGACCGAAAAAAGCTATGAGCTTGAAGCTCCACTTCGCCCATGACTGCTGCTTCCAACCTTCATACCGGTGTCACGCTGCTGCACCTTCCCGAAGACGGTCTACAGCCACGGTCCATTTTTGAGATTCCGTCTAGGCCTCACGCATTGCTATCGTGTTGACGGTTGCCACCCAGCTGTCGGCGTCGGTCCGGACACGGTGTAATTCCGGTAGTTCGCAGATGGCTGGTGATTGTGAGGTGGCAGGTGGCAACGCAGAGATCACCGACGTGAAGCAGTCGA